GGGAACGAAAACACAAGAAGCGAGGAAGGACTCCCCACCAATGGAAGCCCGCGCCGCGCCCACGCCCCCCATTTTAGGGATCTCCACGAGCCACGCCGTCTCCCACGGGAACCCAGGGGAGCAGGAATGAGGCACCAGGTCTAGCTTTCCCAGAAGCAGTGTCACGCCTTTGCTACACAGGTCTGGCCTCTGGGGCTGCCCCCGGCCCTGGGCCCGTCTGCCAGAGACTGAGCTCTGGGAGGCCTTCCACAGCGCGCGGGGACTCCCACGGGAATGCCTCCTACGCCGACAAAGACAGAACGACCCGGCCCAGGGGGCAGCACACACAGAGGGGCAAGCCCAGACTCTGACACAGAAGACCCAGCATGGACCCTAGGTCTCCCAAGCAGTCGCATGGGACCTAGAGCAAGTCACGGGGCCTCTCCAAGCCTCAGTTTCCCCATCTATAATATGGGACCATTTGGGAGCTCTGAGCATAACAGAATCAGGACTGGGAAGCTCTTTCTGGGAACCTGTAAAGGGCTAGGGATGCCCTGGCCCTCCCCCAGGTCACCTGCCTGTGAGCCTCTTAGGGTCAAGGCTTCCTTTTGTGCCTGGCCCTGGGGGCCCAACACCCCAAGGAAGGTCAGGTTGGAGAGGGAGGGGGAAAGGCTTATCTAACCCGCCCCATTGTCTTTGCTGACCTTTGCTCCCAGGCCTGCCTGGGTTTAGGAAAAGCTGATCCTGCCCCTAATGAAAGACCTATTCAGGGCCTTTTTACAAGCTCCGGACCACCCTCACTCCATCCTCCCTTGAAACCAACAAAAAAACACACGCAGGAGAATAAATCCATCTTATTTTGAGAAGCTCAAATTTTTCATCCCAACTTCTAAAAGTAAACACGGCGCATACAAAGGCTGCCAGAGGCCCCGACTTCCCTAGGTTAGCTAACGTGGAAAGGGCCAGGGTGTGCCGGGTGGGCAAGATGCTGACACAGGAACTGGGGGGGGGGGGGGGGGGGGGGGGGGGGGGGGGGGGGGGGGGGGAGGGAAACTGCTGAAAATGCTTTTGTTTGGGGGAGGCTGGGTGGCTCAGCCGGTTAAGCTTCCGACTTCAGCCTAGGTCAAGTTCTGGCCATTCCGTTCCTGAGTTCCAGCCCCTCGTCGGGCTCAGTGCTGACAGCTCAGAGCCCGTAGCCTGGTTCAGATTCTCTGTCTCGTTCTCTCCCTCTGCCCCTCCCCTGCTCCCGCTCTCTCTCTCTCTCTCGAAAATAAATATTAAAAAAAATTTTTTCTTAAGAAAATGCATTTTAAGGCCAACAGACACATGAAACGATGCTCAGCATCCCTCCTCATCAGGGAAATACAAATCAAAACCACACTGAGATACCACCTCACGCCAGTCAGAGTGGCTAAAATGACCAAATCAGAGAACTCTAGATGCTGGCGAGGATGTGGAGAAACGGGCACCCTCCTACACTGTTGGTGGGAATGTAAACTGGTACAGCCCCTCTGGAAAACAGTGTGGAGGTTCCTCAGGAAACTAACAATAGAACTCCCTTATGACCCAGCAATAGCACTGCTAGGAATTTACCCAAGGGATACAGAAATGCTGAGGCATAGGAGCACATGTACCCCAATGTTCATAGCAGCACTCTCCACAATAGCTAAAACATGGAAAGAGCCTAAGTGTCCATCAACAGATGAATGGATCAAGAAGATGTGGTTTATCTATACCATGGAATACTACATGGCAATGAGAAACAATGAAATCTGGCCATGTGTAGCAACATGGATGGACCTTGAGGGTGTTATGCTGAGCGAAATAAGTCAGGCAGAGAAGGACAAATATCATATGTTTGCACGTATAGGAGGATTAGGAGGAACTTGACGGAGGACCAAGGGGGAGAAGAAGGGCGGAAATGGTGGGGGAAAGGGAGAGAGGCAAACCATGAGAGACTCTTGAATGCTGACAAAAACTGAGGACTGATGGATGTGGGGGGGAGGGGGGGATGGGCATGGAGGAGGGCACTTTGGGGATGAGCACTGAGTGTTATGTGGAAACCAATTTGACAATAAACTATTTGTAAAAAAAATAAAAAATAAAAAATAAAAATGATAACATCAAAAAAAATGCATTTTAAAAATCATTCGTTGGGGGAGCAAACCTGACTCTCTTGAGTTTGGGGTTCACCGGCCTCATCTGCCCCCCATGAGTACAGTGAACAGGACTCTAGTCCAGACTGCAGTCAGCACAGCCCAGACCTCGGTCAACGCGACCTCGGGAAAAGGCCTATTTGCATATGCGTTCTCAGCTGCCAGCCCCACCTGCCAAGGACAGCCTGGAATCAGGTGGGCCCGGGCGGCCTTCCTCAGCACCCCCCCACCCCCCACCCCCCACAAGGCTGCAGGTACCCCGCCACTTCAAGGTGACTCCAGGGCCACAGTCCCCCATCTCCTGGACAGGTGTTGTGGGCTCAAACATCCAGGCGAGCTGTCTAAACAGCAGAGTTGTGAAAAGAACACCAAAGTCTGCCTGGCAGATTTGCAAAGGGGTCCCTCTTGTTTTTTCATGAGAAGCCTAGGAAGGAAAACGCAGGACAAGGATCTGAGAGGTACACAGACTTCCCGTGTGCGGATCCTGACCACCCTCGACCTCGGTGGATAAAGGGGACGCTCTGGGTTTGGGCCCGCTTTGCAGGAAAGCAGAGAGGGGCTCAGAGAAGTTAAGGAGACGGTCCCTGAGCCCAGGAGGAGGCAGATTCGAATGAAGACAGTCTGACCCCTCCGGGTAGCAGGGTTATCAACCATCTGCTCCGTGGTCACCGATAAGGAAGTGACACTTCCCAGAATGTCAGACAAGAGCAAAACCAGGGTCAGGAATCAAGAATAGGGAGCCAACAATGTCTGCTAAGAGTCCTGGCAAGAAGGACACTAGGCCGGAGATGCAAGCCAGCCCCCACTCGGCCTGAGCCAGGGAGGAGCCCCTGCTGCCCCTGGAAGACCCCCCTCCCAGCAACCACACCCCCCCACCCACCTCCTCCAGGCAACTACTGCTAAGACACTTCCAATCCCCACTGCTTTCCCAGGCAATGCTCAGAACCTCTCTCAGCCTCCACAGAGAGACGGACACAGAATCCCCAGCGGGCTCCGTCGTGCTGTCAGCGCAGAGCCCAACATGGGGCTCGAACTCCCGAACCGTGAGATCATGTCTTGAGCCAGAATCAAGAGTCGGACGCTTCACTGACTGAGCCACCCAGGCACCCCCAGAAAAGTATTTTTTAAGAGAAGGGCCTTTCCTTGTTTCCAGGCATCCTAGTCACCTGGTTGGGAGAATTTATCTCAAGGCCATGCAAGACTTCAATAGACAAAACTAAACACCAACCTGTCTCAGCACCCACACTTCAGTGCCAAGAGCCACTCTCCCCAAGTGTCATTGGATGTCGCAGCTGAAAGCCAGGAACGTTTCATTTCCCAGCCACGGGGCTGCAGTGATCCCTCCTTGAACTCGGGAGAAACTAAGGCCCAGAAATCTGCCCTCCCCCCCCGCCAAGGCCCCCAAAGCCCGAGGCTGGGAGTCCTGACTCTCTAGACCCAAGAAACCACAACAAGTTACACCACCCACTGGCCTTAAGCAGCAGGCTGGGGTGGGAAGTGGGGGTGGGTACAGAGTTACAAAGGGAAACCCGAGTTGTAGTGGTAGATTGCTAATCAGTAACAAAATATCCCTCTCAACCCAGTCCTGCTCTGAACTCACAAGCACCGAAGGTAAATAAAGGAAAAATTGTGCTGTGATAGCTCTCCCCACCTCCAGGCGGCCAGTGCCCACCCCTACACCCCCCAGAGGCCACTTGGCCACCACCAAACCAGAGAGAGAGCGCCCCTCCTCTGCTCAGGCGTCACTCTGGGGGAAGAACAGGCATTTGAAGCCTAGACACATTTTCTCTGAACTAGGAAAGCCTTTAAAGAGAACCAGAAAGGGCTGTTTAATCTCCACCTTCAGGCAAATAGTTCAGGCAGCAGCGATTGCCACCACAACTGGGAGCCAAGCCACCAAAAATGTGGATGAACAGGGAGATAGGGAGAGCCACCGATCAGAGCATTTCGAACAGAAGCCACAGAAGCGGTTGCTGGTGCTGGGGGCCCGACAGTCACAGGGCCACCGTGGAAGCCAGTAGCTGAGCTTTCCTGAGGCCAAAGGTCCTCCACCCACACCCAGGCCACCTACCACCACTGCACTTCCTGTAAGGCACCCACGGTTTACAAATCCCTTGCGGGGGGGTGGGGGGGCGGGTATCTCCACCTCCGATCCACAAGGCAGGGAAAAGCTCCGTTCTACAGATAAAAAAATGGAGGCAGGCAGAGGAGAAAAAGCCAGGATCCATTCCAAGCACATATCCCTCTGGAAAGCTTTAGAGTCCAGGTTCAAAAAGGTCCCTCCTCCCTGAGTTCAAGACTGAGAACACACCAGAACGGGTCTCAACCCCGGGACCTCTGGCCCAGCTGCCTGCGAGCACTGTCCGTGCTCCCTCTCAGCCAGAAGGCAGCACCGAGAGCCCAGCTGGAATTCCCGCCCGGCACACACGTGCATGCTCCCCCGGTCTGGGGGGTCCCGGCTCCTCCAAATGCGACGGGACATTCACCTGTACCGGACAAGTCTTTTTCTCCCCCCGCCCTCCCAGAAACTTCCCGCTCCTGGACAAGGATTTCCAGGCTGGGACGAGGCGTCCCTAGCCAGCCTTGCAGTGCCAAACACCAATACTGATCATTCCGCGGGACGGAAACTTTTCTGGGGTCCACCGGGGCCCCGGCCCGGCTGCGGGTTCGGAGCTGGGCAGGGCCACGCCTCCATCGCTTGACCAGAAAAACAGTATTACCCGAAGCCCCACTGTGGGTGGGCGCGGGATCCCCGGGCCCAGAGGCTGGACACCAGCCGGAGGAGGGGTCTGGAGTGGCGGCCGCCCCTGGGGGGCAGGGGCCGTGGGCCCGAGACCCGCGCTCCCCGACGCGCGCGGTGCTTACCGTGCAAGCCGTTGGGGATGCTTCGGTGGTGCGGCGGCGCGGAGAGGTCGTCCAGGGACCTGCGCGTGGCCACTGCCTTGCAGTCGGGGGCCTTGTGCGGCCCGGGGGGCAGCAGCGGGGGCGGGGCGTGGTGGTGGTGGTCCGGGCTGCCCCCGCTGCCCGCGCTGGACGTGCTGCTGCCGTCGCCCACGTCGCGGGCCCCCGTGCCCGCCGCGCCGCCCGCCAGCGGCCCGCTCAGGCTGGCCTGGCTGTCGATGGAGCTGCGGGAGCCCGCGCCGCCGCCGCCGCCACCGCCGCCGCCGCCCGCGCCGCCCGCGCCGCCCGCCAGCGCCGCGCGCTCCTCGTCCAGCATCAGCACCAGCTCCTTGAGCTCCAGGTTCTCACGCAGCAGGGCCTCCTGGCGCGCCTCGAGCTCGCGCAGTTTCTGCTGCGAGCGGGCCACCTCGTGCCACACGGCGCCGGCCGCGTGGCGCCCGAAGCGCTGCCACTCGCGCGCCAGCTTGCGCCCCTTCTGCCGGTCGTCGTCGAGGAAGCAGCAGAGCTCGCGGAGCTCCTGGTTGTCGTCCTGCAGCCGCTGGTTCACGTCCTTGAGGCCGCGGATCTCCAGCAGGTGCTGCTGCAGCCGCCGGTTCACGTCGCGCATCAGGCCGCCGTGCTCCAGCATGAGGCCCACCTTCTCGCCCTCCGCGCGCCGCAGCCGCCGCGCCAGCTCCTCCTTGCTCCAGCGCAGCAGCTCCTCGTCCGGCACCTGGCTCAGCTCCTCCGACGCCGCCGCCGCCGCCGCCGCCGCCGGGGGCTTCGCCATGGCGGGGCCGTCACCGCGGCATCGCCCGCGCCCTCGCGCGGCCGGCGCGCCCCGCGCCGGGGCTGCGCGGGGCCGGTCGGCTCACGGGCAGGGGGCGGCCGGGGGCGCGTGCGGGCCGCCCCGCGCCACCCCGCGAGCCCTCACGCAGCGTCCGCCCGGGGCCGCCCGGGAACCGCGGGGCTCGGGGCTCGGCGAGCTGGGGCCGCTGCTGCGTCGGCGGCCGCCGTGCCGGGCGCTCTCCGGGTTCGGGCGAAGCAGGCGGAGGCCCGCCCCCGGCCCAGCTCCCGGAGCCCCGGCCGCCCCGCCCACTCCGGGCGGGGAGGGGGCGGGGCGCCCCCGCCGGCTCCGCCTCCGCGGGGAGCGAGGGGACGGGCAGAGGCGCGCCCGGCCCCCGACGTCCCCCCGCGCCGTGCGCCCGCCCGCCCGGCGCCCTGCCAGAGGCGCATTCGAGCCGCGGTCCCGCCCTCCCGCCCACCCGATTGGGCCGCTCCGGGGGTGTGTGGGAGGGGCGGGGCGCACGCGGGGGAAGCCGAGGAGATGGTACAGTCCAGCCTCCCGGCTTCCACCACCTCCCCCTCCCGGCGGTTCAAGTTTCTGCGCCCGGAGGACGCGGCCTCGGCCAATCCCTGGGCTACAGGGCGCTTTTAAAATGCAGGTACGGCTGCGGGGAGGGGAACGGTGGGAAAGGTAGGGCAGGGCTTTCCTTAAAGGAGACGCGCGGAAATGGACGCCGAGCCCCCTCCCAGGTCCGCGTCCGCCCCCCCACTCCCCCGCCCCAAATAAACAGACACCCGCGAGGCGGAGGACAGCCCCGCTTCTCCCTCCCGGGGGCACCAGAGTCCAGCGTAGTCGGAGACACAACGAACAATGGGACTGTGACTCGGAGGTCGCTCTCCCCGGAGGCAGGGCGGCTCTTTGTCCCCTTCCGAGCCCCCGACTCCTCCGCCCCCGTCCCCACCCCTGGCCGGAGCCAGCAGAGGCTGCGTCTCCACTCCAGCCCGGGGCTGTGACTCCTGCGTCTGCGCCCCAACGGGGCCGGCGCCTCGCCCTGGACCCTCTTCCCTGCCCTGAGGGGGCGAGGGCACCGGGAACCTGCCCCCCAGCCCCCCACCCCGCCGGGAGCCGGGCTCAGAGTACCGCTCCCCCGCCCACCCGACCGCTAGTCCCTGAGCTGCTGGGCAGAGTCGGTGATTCCTGAGGTGGAGACCAGTGGAGAGGACCGAGGAAGATCTCCCAGTGGGGCCTAAACAACCGGGGTCGGGGGTCGCCGGGCCTGCCACAGAACCTGCCCCCCACCGGCAGCCTCGCTCCGCACCCGGCTGTTCCCCCAGCCCAGGAGTCTGCCTCTTTATCCCCGCGTCCCCGGAGCGTGTTTACGGCGCGCCTGCGGCCAGCCGGTCGGAGGGGGGCGTCCCTCCCCCACGACCCGCGACCGGATAAAACCCGCGCACTCGACCGTGAGCCTCCAAGGCCTGCGGCGCGCGCCCGCGCGGCGGCTGATGTCCCCATTTCCAGTTGCTCAACCATTCGTTGGACGACTGCGTATCCCAGCACCTTCTCTACACCGGTCCCGTTACACACACACACACACACACACACACACACACACACACCCCGGCGTGGTTGGGGGGCGGGGCGGGGGGGCTCTGCGGGGCACGACAGCAGAGGTCACTGCCCTCCAGGGGGAGGTTGCACTCTGGGGAGGAGGAGAGAGAAGATAATAAACACGAGATAACCATGAGATTGTAATAAGCACTGTGCAGGGGATTAAGACCGGCTGCTGTCACAGAACGCGGTAATCAGTTACTTTAGATGCCGTGGTCAAGGAGGATCTCTCAGGAGGTGCATCTAAGCTGAAAGGAGAAAAGCCCTAGGGTTGGCCTGTTACTGGCCTGTTCAAGCAAGGCCAGTGGGCACGGGAATGGGCCGAGGAAGGGGTGAGGGATGAGGTCAGAGGGGCCAGATCACACATGATTCTAAGGCAGCTGGGAAATCAGCGGGGGGGGGGGGGGGGGTTAGCACCTAGCAACATGACCTGATTTGCCTTTTAAGAGGCTCACTCTAACCCATATGTGGAGAAGGGATGGGGGAGGTGCTTAGAGAGGTCCAGATTCAGTACCTTATTCCCCATCCAGCCGCCCCTCTCCCCAGGTAGATATTCAGGATGGGGCGGTGAGGAATAAATTTGCGGGTTAAGCCCTAGAGGAGCTCAGGGTTCCCAGAACTCCGGCCTGGTGAGCCATGCTGTTCGCCACGGGCCCAACGCAGCACAGCTGAGTTTGGAGACGGTTTCAGCTCACACCTGAAAGCTGCCAGCCTGTCTTACCCCAGGAAGCCGGATTAATCAGCCCCCTGGAGGCATCCCGAAAAGAAGCCTGTACAGAGAGCGGCTTCTGGGATTTGGGGGGGGAGGGGGCTTAGGACACATGGACTCAGTAGGGAAGTCACTGAGATGAACCCCCTTCCCATTCGTGCGTGGCCCAAGGTAGTTCTTGCAGCCTGCATCTCAGTCCCCTGCTCCTCCAGGACTGGCAGCTTCAGCTGAACTTTTCCAAGACAAAAAGGAAGCTCCAGAGCTTTCCAAGAGAAAAAGGAAGCCCCCAGCTAGCTGGGGTTTGCATGCATCAGCTACAGACTCTAGGACCAAGAGTCCCCACCAGCCAAGACCCAGGAAGACATCCCTAACACCCCCCAACACAGCAAAGACAAAGTGCTAAAGATGAGGCTACCGGGTGGCCCGAGGGAGACTCTGCTCCCTGCACCATTGCTGGACAGGCTTGGGCACGACCAAATAGGATGGCTGGAGGTTGAGGGGGCTGAGCTCAGACGGGGTCCTGAAGCAAGAGGGATCGGCCAAGCCAGAACCCCCTCCCTAAGGGCCTGTGTCCCCCCGGGTCCAGCAAGGGGTGCCAAGCCCCCTAGAACACAGTCCAACAGACCTTGCACCCCAAGCCATGGTCTCAGAAATGTCATGTGCCTTGCTGTCTAGCTTCATGGTCGTAACAAACTCAGCTTTCTCATGAAAACAGTAAAACCAAATAATGGCTCTCTGGCACAGTAATTCTCTAAATATCCAGTTAAAGTAGTTGTGGGTCTTTTAAATAATAAAGATGCGCCCTCACCTGCCAATTTTTTTCTTTGGAATCTCCCAGCATGCATCTACCTAAAGCCACACAAATGTTTTGTTTATAAATGTTTATCTATTTTGAAAATGACAGCTCCACTGAGCAGGGGGAGGGGCAGAGAGAAAGGGAGAGAGAGAAATCCCAAGCAGGCTCTGCACTGTCAGCACAGAGCAGGGACGCGGGCCTCGAGCCCACAAACCTGTGAAATAGTAAACTGAGCCCAAATCAAGAGTTGGACGCTCGGGGCGCCTGGGTGGCTTAGTCGGTTAAGCGTCCGACTTTCGCTTAGGTCATGATCTCACGGTTCGTGGGTTCGAGCCCCGCGTGGGCTCTGTGCTGACTGCCAGCTCAGAGCCTGGAGCCTGTTTCGGTCTGTGACTCCCTCTCTCTCTGACCCTCCCCTGCTCACTCTCTCTCTCTAGAAATAAAAAAAAAAAAAAAAGAGTTGGACGCTCAACCGACCAGCCTCCTGGGCGCCCCACGCACAAATGTTTTTGAGAGCCAGATGGGGTGAGAACCAGTACTTGTAACAGAATGCGTATCATTTCCCCGGTTCAAAACGCAAGGTGTGTGAACCCGGGAAATGATCATAAGAGCAGGCTGGTGGTAAGCAGGTTTTCTCCCCATTAGAAGGGAGCACAGAGTCCAGAGCAGACACCATGTGGTGTTTGTTGAGTGAATGCATGACCCGGCAGCAAATGACCAATTGAATCGGAGCCCCTCATTTTGAAGCCCCAGAAGGGAAATGACTTCCCCAAGGCCACTTTCATACCTTGACTCACTGAACACACAAACATCTAATTAGGTAAGAATTTATACGCAAAGGCGCATATATGCACAAAATGCGTGGAAATGCACACTGGTAAGTACCACAGGCCAGGTGAACAGGACACACCATCAAGGGAGCATCCTGAGGCACTGGGCTTCCTGGAGGAGGTGGCATCTGAGCTGAATCTTTTTTGTTTTGTTTTTAAGTGATCTCTACTCCCAATGTGGGGCTTCAACTCATGACCCCGAGATCAAGGGTCGTGTGCTCTACAGAAATAAACCAGCCAGGCCCCCTGAGTTGAATCTTGAAGAGTCAGTAGGAGTTTGCCAGATTTTGGAGGGGGGAGGGGAGGATTGGGACAGTCCCAGTGGAGGGAACAAACACCAGGACCCCAGAGGTAGGTGACGGTGAGCAGGGGGAGAGGGGGGTGTCAGAGGGAGGTGAGGCTAGGCACCGGGGTGCGGATGGCTCTGTGAGCTGCAGGGAGAGGCATGTGTGGCCTCTCCCCGGGGCCAATAGTTAACAACAGAGGCAACAGTAATAATACTCACCATCTCCTACCACTTGCCCTGTCCCCGCGATGAGCTGGGGCTCTCGGCCAGCCTTCCTGGGAAGATCACTACCACTCTATAGGGGGTGTCATTAGCTCTTCGAGGATTTAATGCCGATGCCTGTGGGCTTGCTTGTCTCCACGAAGCTCAGATCACCATGTGAATTCGCGGCCAGTGTATAGAGGCGTGTGGACCCCCCAGGACTCCAGTACAGCCAGGGCAAGGTTGTGTGGTGGCTGAATGCCTCTGCAGGCCAGCGTGGTGATGGCGGCTGACCAGGGCCGGGGCCGGGGTTTCTTCTCTGCCCACCCCGGGGGACCCTGAAACAAGAGAAATCACCACACAGAGCTGAAAGCCCACCATGCCTAAGAAATCAGGGCCCATGGAAAAGCGACCACAATTATGATTAATAAAGCGACCACTTTCCACGTCCCAGCCCTTCTAGGGCTTTACAGGGATTGTCTGATTGAGTCCTAACGGCAGCCCTGTTATGTGGGAGCCCTCATCCCCATTTTACAAAAGGGGAAACTGAGGCTCGCATTGGTGAAGTCACTTGTCCAAGGTCACACAGCTAGCAAGCAAATGAGCCGGGATTTAAACCCAAGATCGTCTGAGTCCAAGAGGGTCCCTGACCCGGCAGGCTGCTGCCGTCCTGCCCCTCAGTCGCCCCTTCTTGGAGAGGAGAGTGCACCTGATGCTCTGGACATCCCTTGCACCGTGGCTCTGGTCCTACCATTGGGGGGCCCGCCCTGTGCCAGGGTGACGTCCACCAGGGCACGTTCCCATGCAGCAGGCCGTCCACAAGTCACAGAGACTCCCCAGGCCTCCGACGGCAGCCAGGGGCAGAGCTGCCCTGTGGACAGACCACTGCAGGCTGCCAGCTCCGTGTCCCAGTGCCTACCTTGCTGACCTGCTGGGTGACCTCAGGCCGCTCTTTTCCCTTCTTTGAGCCACGGTTTTCTCACCCAAGCCCTTCCCCACAGGACCAGTGTCAGGCACTGAGCACAACTCTTGCAAAGCTCTGGAAATGTGAGCTTCGCCTCCTCGCCCTGCACGTTCTTCCCATCGCCTGGACCAGCACAGCCTTCCGATGAGCACATTTGCACCCATTTTTCAGAGCCCAACACTGAGGTACAGTAAAGCAAGGGCTGTCCAGGAACCCAGTGCTTGCCCCTGGCAAACCAGGCTACAAAGGATGCCGGGGGTGGCCCTCTGCTGCCACCAGCTTCCTTTGAGGACGGGAGCCACACAGAAAATGGGGAACCTCAGGACCCCATTTAGTGATCAAGAGTTTAGTGATCAAGTGTCTCAACTCCCACCTTTCTAGGTGAGGAAGCTGCATGGAAGCCGGGCCCACCGAGCAGAGTGCTTGGATGGTAGCCTCTGGAGAGCACTGGGGGAGGGCTGGGGGAGGGGAATGTGGCATCGTTTACTCACACCGCTGCTGACCGGTGTTCCAACGGTGAGCAGGAAGCCAGCGGTGCAGGGGACAGCTGCCTTGAACCGTTGATGTCTGGGGGGGATGGGAGGAGCTGAAGCCCAGGGGGCCTGGTGTCCAGGCAAAGGGCAAAAGGCCACATCACCTGAGGGCCACGGGGGGCACAGAAGATGTGGAGCGAGCCAGGAGAGACCTGGCCAGACTTGGTTTGATAGAGAGCACATGACAGAAGGTGTATTTAGGGAAGCAGGGATCAGAGAGGGTCGGCGGAGTCTGGGAAGCTGCAAAACCAGAGCAGATTAATCCTCATTGGTCCCCAGGGTGGAAGGTCCCTTTAGAGACCAATTGGAGGTGTCTGCATCCGCACCCCTCCCTTCCCGGCTAGAGCCACTGAAATTCCCTCTCCCCCTTCAGCAGCTGACATCCCCTCACACCACTGCCCTGAGGAGTGAAGCAGGAAGGGGGGCTCAGTCAGAAGGGAAACTGAGTCAAGGGACCTCTTTACAGAACTACCTCTGACTTCAACACACTTAAAAATATTATTCTTGGGACGCCTGGGGGGCTCAGTTGGTTAAGCATCTGACTTCGACTCAGGTCATTATCTCACAGCTCGTGAGTTCGAGCCCCGCGACGGGCTCTGTGCTGACAGCTCAGAGCCTGGAGCCTGCTTTGGATTCCGTGTCTCCCTCTCTCTCTGACCCTTCCTGGCTTGTGCTCTCTCTCTCTCTCTCTCTCTCAAAAATAGATAAACGTCTAGAAAAAAAAAGTTAAAAACACAATATTCTTGGGACACTTGGGTGGCTCAGTTGCTTAAGTGTCTGACTTCAGCCCAGGTCATGATCTCACGGTTGGTGAGTTTGAGCCCCGCATCGGGCTCTGTGCTGACAGTGCAGACCTTGTTCTGGATCCTCTGTCTCCCTCTCTCTCTTTCTCTCTATCTCAAAAATAAACAAACATTTTAAAAAATTATTCTTATTGAAAACTATTTTAGGCTCAACCTCATTGGTTCAGCTTGGTGCGACTCTTGATCTCAGGGTTGTGAGTTCAAGTTCCATGTTGGGTATAGAGATTACTTAAAAATAAAATCTTAAGGGGTGTCTAGGTGGCTCAGTCAGTTAAGCGTCCAACTTGAGCTCAGGTCATGATCTCACGGTTCATGGGTTTGAGCCCCACATCGGGCTCTGTGCTGACAGCTCAGAGCCTGGAGCCTGTTTCAGATTCTATGTTCCCTCTCTGTCTCTCAACCCCTTCCCCACTCATGCTGTGTCTCTCCCTCTCTCTCAAAAATAAATAAACATTTTAAAAATTTAGTAAAATCTTTTTTAAAAGATTTTAGAACGATATTATAGTTATTACAACTATATTATATATTATATACAACAACAGGGACATAGCAGGCACCTAGCAGCCCACTGCCCCGCTTGGAAAGTTACTGCCACTTTTTAAATATTTATCTATTTTGGCGGGGGGTGGGGGGGGAGCAGGGCAAAGAGAAAGAGAGAGAGAGAGTCCCAAGTAGGCTCCTTCCTGTCAGCGCAGAACCCTACATGGGGCTCGAACACTCTAACTGTGAGATCATGACCTGAGCCCAAACCAAGAGTCAGACGCTTCACCGACAGAGCCACCCCGGGCGCCCCTCACCCCCGGCCACTTGTGAAGACCCCTGGGGCCCCTCTTGGTCACAAGCTGCTGCCTGCCAGAGCCCACGATTCTGGATGTCGTATCCATTGTTCCTGTGCCTTCAGCATACCATGCCTCCCCTTACAACACACTGCCAAATTTTCTCGCGCTTGGACCTTCTCAAAACCATGTCGTGCTTCACAGGTTAACCGGCTGCATATGATCCTCCCTCATTATTTCCTTGACCCAAGCAGCCATCGCACACTCGCATGGCTGTGTAGTAGGCTTTCTCAACCGCGGCAAAGTTGGCTCCTTGGACTGGATGTCTTTGTTGTGGTGGCAGAGAAGGCCTGTGGTGTACATCACAGGATGGTTACCAGCTTCCCTGGCCTCTACCCTTGTGTGAAAGTAGCACCCCCACCGCTAGTTGTGAAAGCCCAGAGTACCCCCCAGACCTTGCCAAACGGCTCCTGGGGGCAAAATCACCCCATGCTCAGAATCTCTTCCGTCCAATATTCAGTGCATGAATATACTATCACTTTTACTCTTCCTTCGAAGGACATTGGTTTCTCGTTGTTTGCTAGAACCCGCAATGCTTCCATAGACATTCTTGCACATGTGTCCTGATGCATGTGAGCATGAACTCCGTTAGGGTCTACACCGAGACCCCACATGGCTAGGTCATATGGCATACCCAGCTTCAGCTTGGCTAGGTGATGCTGCCCTGCTTTCCAAAGAAGTGGTGCTGGGGGCGCCTGGGGGGCTCAGTCAGTGGAGCGTCCGACTTCGGCTCAGGTCATGATCTCACGGTTTGTAGGTTCGAGCCCCGCGGTGGGCTCTGTGCTGACAGCTCAGAGCCTGGAGCCTGCTTCACATTTTGTGTCTCCCTCTCTGTCTGTCCTTCCCCTGCTTGCACTCTGTCTCTGTCACTACAAAAAAAAAAAAAAAAAAGTTCAAAGTTCAAAGAAGTGGAGCTAACTCACAATCCAGCCAGCGGGGTATAGAATGTTGTCACTCCAGTGGGTGAAGCTTCGTGCACTTTCCATACCTCCTTTCTTGGTCTCCCTCCAGCTCTCAGAGCACAAGAGAAACCCAGGCCAAATTTCATACTCTGGGTGCCCCATATATTAGGAGAAAAAAATAGAAGAGGAAACAATATAGCAGGTTGACACACTTGTGACTCCTTTGAAATGTTTATATGTATCAAACTGATGCTTTCACACACGTGCACAGGTACAATGCAACATTGTAGGATAATTACAGGGTTTACTGCAGGTGATAAGTTTCAGGCCCCAGACGCTCGCTTGGTCTTTGAGCCCGGCTGCCTATCCGTGTGACCGTCACCCCTGTTCTGGGAAGGCTGGAGGCCCCACCTATAACGGAAGGTTCTGTCTGCCTCCCCCAAGTGGACATTAATTGTGAACAAACCGCTCTCTTCTCTGGGACCCTCAGGGCAGGGCCCCAGCGATGTTCTCTGGGTGTCTGCAGCTGCCCCATCTGCCCAGCCCCCGCACCCCCCTACTGCCCTGCAGGCCAGGCCTTGGGTGCTGCCTTTGCCCGGGGCCTACAAACAACAATGGTCCTCACTTATAGAGATCAGGGACCAATGTCCTCTGGTGCCTGAATATTTCATGTGCCGCATGTGGAATGAAAGTCAGGGCCTTAATTGTTAATGTGGCTTCTGCCTCTGCAGGCTGGACCTCCCAGCCCCCTCCAGCTTGCCCCTCCTTCCCGTCTGATACAATACCAGCAATAATAACCATTCCCCTGCCCCCTACCCCCCACCCCCAGTTGAGCCCACTGTCAAGAAGACGTGACATGAGTAAGTCTAACAACCATTGGGTCCACCATCTGGATGGCAGATATTCTCAGGGCCCTCTTGGCAAAGAGCCTGGGAGCTCAGTGTTTGTTGAATGAATGGATGATGGTGAAGAAAGTTGGGTTACGTAGAGAAGCCTGGACTTAGAGTCTGTATCTCAGAGTGGATAGCTCTGGGCAAGTCCCAGCCCTCTCTGAATCTCTGGATCTCACTTGGGGGATGGAATCATTTCAAATGCACAAGAAAAGTTTGGCTAAAACCCTAAGCCACACAGTGAGGTAGGCGGGATGCTGCTGCTTTACTGGGGAAAGGCAATATCCCAGAGTCAAGACAGGATGGGCATCTCAAGACTCTGAAAAGCTAGCAGAAGCGATGCCCCCTCTCTCCAGAAGAGGCTCAGCTCAGGGGAGCCTGGGGGGCTCAGTCGGTTAAGCGTCCAACTTCAGCTCAGATCATGATCTCAAGCTCGTGGGTTCAAGGCCTGCATCAGGCTCTGTGCTGACAGCTCAGAGCCTGGAGCCTGCTTCGGATTCTGTGTCTCCCTCTCTCTCTGCCTTTTCCCCGCTGGCGCTCTGTCTGTCTGTCCATCTGTCTCTCAAAACTAAATAAACAGTAAAAAAATAAAATAAATAAAATGAAAAAAGAAGGGACTCTGCCTGGCTAAGACCCAACCCCATGACATGTCCCTACAACGAGGAATCATCACCTCTGCATCCTGAGCCTTCAGAGCTCCTGCAAGAAGTCAGGGCCATAATGAGGCAGGTGGTCAGACTCTATAAACAAGGCCAGTGGGTAGCCCAGTGGTTTTCAGTCCTGGACACTTGTTAAGTTACTTAGAAGCTGGCAAACCGCAGGTGCTCAGACCCCAGCTCACACCAATCCAGTCAGAATACCTGGGGAGGCGAGCCTAGAGGGCAGGGCTGTGGAGAACTGGGTTGGATCAAGGTCTTGCTCATTGGCGTCAGTCTGCGCCAGAAGGAGAGAGCCCCCATTTCTTGGGGGCATAGCCCTCCCCAAGTGTCTGAATCTAGAGATATTTCTCTGAGATTATCCAAATTGCCCCACATAACCCTCAAATGTGCTGCCTCCACCTCCAGTAGAGAAGGGGGCTAGGGATTCTGCCATCTTTGTCGTGTTCACTTAACAATCCATACTTTTTGCCCTCTATGTAATGGGATAGAATGGAGGGAAGGAAAGCATTGAAGACATAATACCAAACAATGACGTGGGACTGCTGGACACAAAGGCCAGAAG